GCAGAATCCAAATCTGGATACATCTGGAACTTTGAAATTTATACTGGCCGCAAAGGGGAAGCAGAGGAGAATCAAACGAAGAAGGTTGTTGTTCGCCTCATGAGCCCACTTGAGGATAAAGGCTACTGACTGTTTACTGACAATTTTTACTCCAGCCCTGATCTCTTTTTTACTTTGAGGGAACATGGTATTCAAGCTTGTGGAACTGTCCGACCAAACCGGAAGGACCTGCCAAAGGAAATCATGGACCATAAGCTCCCTCTTGTCAAAAACTTACCTAGAGGTGGTTCCCTGTTTAGGAAAAAGGGAGAACTTATTGCAGCTACGTGGAAAGACAAAAAGCCTGTGCATCTCATCTCAACTGTTCCTGTGGGAAATGCTATGGACACAGCGAAAAGGAAAGTCAAAGAAAATGGCGCTTGGGTGGAAAAGGAGTTCCAGTGCCCAGCTGCAATAAAGCTGTACAATGAGTTCATGGGGGGAGTAGACCTGGCAGATCAACGCATTGCAACTTACAAGAAGCATTTGAAGACATCTACTTGGTATTTGGCTTTATTTTATCACTGCCTTGAGCAAAGTTGTCTGAATGCATTCATTGTGGAGCAGGCTACCCCCACCCATGTCAGGCCAAAGCGTACCCAACTTCAATTTCGTGAAGATCTCATGACACAATTGATTGGGGGACGGTCATATGTGAAGAAGGCAGGCAGGCCCTCAACACCTGTGGCTGCTGAAGCCAGGTTTGACCAAAGTCAATTTCATCATCTGGTGAAAACCGAAAGCAAAAGAGCCTGTGTTGTACATGTTCAGGAAGTCCGCACAGTGTATCAGTGCGCTGTCTGTGAGCGAGCTATGTGTGTGGAACCTTGTTTCCTGCATTATCACACCCTTCAGTCGTTCAAATTCAATGATCCCACAAAAACAAGATCAAAGAGTGGAACCAAAAGATCAAGACAACATGTTGAATGAATGTACATTTTTTATTACAAGATTTTCTGAGCTGCCATCTGGTTTCCATGGCAACCAACTGGAAGAGAAAACTGTAGATGTAAAATAATCATTAGTAGTTTTAAAGCAGTATAAGACTTGTTTTTTGTTCTTTTCTGCTAAATTTACAGAGTAAAAGTGCTGTTTTTGAATTTGTAAGGTATTTTATTATTGCGCAATATTTTTGAAATTTTTGCTGCAATTGTGGATGGAAATACTGAGTGGTCTCAGTCAAAGAACCATTTCTGTGAAAATATTTTCAAGTTGTAATCTGTGAACAATGTTTAGGATATAAATATGTTGTGTTTTGAGCACTTTAGAAAAATCTGTAGAGCTTTTACCTAAGCTGGTGTAATTTTCGATAAAAAATATAACTGTTTAATATGATTGACAGGTGTCATAGTCTCCATGGTAAAATACAGATACTGCAAATTACCCATCTTTGGAAAGCTCAACTTTCCAGGATCACAAAAACATCAATTTAAGACTGTCTTGATGTTAACCAAGATCATGAATGCTTGCTTGTTTGTATCCATGACGATCTTAATCTAATTTTCCTCAAATAATTCGGTAGGGAAAGGGTTAAAGAAAATTCTTTCCAGTTCAATGGAAAACACTACCTACAAACCCATGGCACTGCAATGGGTACAAAGACAGCAGTTTCTTTTGCCAATATTTTCATGGCACATATTGAAACAACAATTCTAAGAAGAACCGTTTGACACTGAGACTGTTTTTAGATATGATTGTATACAAAGGCACAAGATTCAAGGAAAAATCTATCCTTGATGTAAAGACACATTTTAAAAAAACGGAAACCTTCCAGTACACACATTTCACCTCTTTGTCACCCGCCAAATGTTAAAAAAGGGTTTGTCAAAGGAGAAGCCTTGAGAATCCTACGAACAAACTCCTCAAAAGCTACATTTGAGGAAAATATTTCAAATTTCAAAAAACGCTTGATTGACAGAGGCTACCCACAAACTATGACAGAAAACCTTCTATCAGATATAAAGTTCACAGAGAGGGAGTCTGCTCTCATGAAATACAACAACAAAGAGAAAAAAGAAATATTGCCTTTCGTGACACAGTACCAGCCCTCAGTGTCTACTTTAAAAGAAGTTTTAATGAAAAACTGGAATCTTATACAAAAGCAACCATTACTTCACCAAATTTTCAAAAACCACCTATCATTTCCTACAAGAAAGGAAAATCCCTAAAGGAAATCCTTGTTAGAGCTAAAATATAAAAGGTTTACACAAGGTTTCACGCCAGTATAGATGTGCAGCCTGTCACCCCTTGCATTTTCTCATGTCATCCCTGAAATTACCAAAGAGGCACCTGTTGCCATTACTCGTAATAGAAAAAAGAAAACCGAAACTGCACTGGATCCAGCCCCAAGCACCTTAACTGATCCTGTACCGGATATGCCTCCTTGAAGCGTGCCTGAACCGGAACAGTCAAGCCGCCTCAGAGATTTAAGGACTTTGCCTCATATAACCTTGAGAAATGTTTGATTCCTTTTTTTGCTTCGTTATTTTCTTTTAGGAAGTCATTTTATTGTATTTTTATTTTGCAAAAAAGGAAGATGTTATCATATACTATACTTCACTTGTATAACATTACAGTCCAGATCTGTTATGTATTGCTGTATTTGGTGTTAAAAATGTCTGCTAATACATGAGCTTTCGTTCATGCATGTTTACCAGTAACTATTGATAACTTCATGTAATGACCCCCAAAATTTGGAACACACACTTAACTCAGCATGAATTGGTATGAGTGAATACACACACATGACCATAGTTGACTTTCAAGCTAATTTGCCATGCTTAAAAATTAATTGCCCATTAATTAAAGAATGCTCTCTGATTGTGTTGCTCCACACTGCAACTTGTCATCACCAGGTAATCATGAAGCACAATTATCATAATTTTAAACATTGTAAATTAGTTAGTGTTAGTTGTTTTTAACATGGCTAATTTGAAAACCAATTTTGTATGTTGAAATAACTACAGTGTTCACAAACAAAGTTAATCCATTCATTCATTCACTTAAGACTGACCACAAGGATTTGAGAAATCAAGACCCACTAAAAGGACAGTAAAAACCAAGGAAACCTACTAATTTATTAAATGGGTGAAAAAGGTGATGATGTAGTGATTTTATTGGTCATTTTAGGGCGATGGAAACCAAACAGTTTTAACCCTTTCACTCCTGAACTGGCCAAAACCGGCCGATCGGAAAACACGTCCCTCTTCCTGAACCAGCCAAAACCGGCCCTTGAGAACGCCTTTGTTTTAGGCTTCCCTCCCCACCCTAAGGAGCAAATATGAACTAAACAAATGTATCTCCATTGTTCTCAAGTTATTGGCCAATCATATTATGAGTACTGCGAATAAGAAAAGTTTCCCTAGGCCAGGAGGGAGGAACGCGAATTTTCGTTCAGTGAGGGACAACTGTAGACTTCAGAGTGCCAAGTCACAAGGCAAACAATGTTGTGAAATCCTCTGAAATTTATCACTATCTTTGATTTTAATGTTTATAAAGGTGTTGTAATAGTTTACAGAGCATTTCGGAACATTGTTTGCTTTGTTAACTTTTAAGTCTGCTTTTGCTGAGCACCAAAAGTTTTGCTTTTCTTCGCGAGCACAAAATGGCAAGCCTACCTTATGTGTCAATTGATGAATACAGAGCGATTTTCGGAGATTCTGATGAAAACTCTGGCGATGTTGATGGAAGCGATTCAGACATCAATTTTGAAGGTATCGAAGAAGATGCTGAGGAAAGTGATGGAGACAACGATCAAACTGGCAATGAAAGAGCCAGCGATAGCGATGAAGAACTCTAAGAAGAGTGCTGGATGGCGGACTTCCGTGACATTGATGTAAATACGTTCAACGGCACAGGAATATCCATCGACGTAGGACATGACCCTAAAGCTGATAACTTTTTTACATTTATTTTTGGCGAGGATCTCTTCGAGAAAATCTTGATGGAGACGAACCGATATGCTCGTCAAAAATTAGCCAAAGAGGAAGCCTTCTTTTTACAAAATGGCACAACAAAAGGGATGTGGCGTTTTTGTCCACAAATGTTTCACCAAATGAGCCGCCTCGAATTGTCCAATGAATACAAAATGGATAGCCTGTGTACAACCGCCCCTCCCCCAAAAAAAATCGGAAAGGAGCGTCTGTGATTTACCGTTGATAATCGTGATCAAAGACCGCGTGACTTTTTCAGGAATGTGTGGAAAATGATTTGATTGGTTATTTCCCATACATCATTACATCACTGAAATAGCGAGATTTGATTGGCTTTCATTTTCGCGTGCTTTGCAATCGGAGCCTTCCGTACAGAATCTTTCACTTTCGTTCGCGACAATAATATGATGTGAGATTTTGACAATGAGTTTGTGCGTTCTTTGTGGCGTAGACATCGCAAAAAACACGTATAAAAATCTTGTTGATGGTCGAAGGGGCAATTCTTTTTAAGTTCGAGAGGAACTGCTGTCTTTGAAGTGTAAAGTCGAAATCAATTCCACGTACATTTGTAGGAATTGTCTTTGCACGCTGAAGAAACAAAGGGCGCTCTTGAACACTCTTCACGAAGTGAATAGCTCAATTCAGAAAATTGTCCAGTCGAAGAAGTGTTCCGCTGTTCCATTACCAGTCCCAAAGCCTTCCTCAAATCAGAGCAGCGACTCCCAAGAGCCAGCTACAAAGCGTGTTACCTTAGAGGATTTTAGAGCGTCTGTGACGTCTGTGGATATCGAAGAAGATAACAGCACGTTGCCAAATAAAACATCGGTAGATCAATGGCCAAGTACTCTCACGTCAACACCTTGTAAGGAGAAAAATTGTCCTGTCGCCTTTGCTGCGTTAGTTGGACCTGTTTCGCCGATTCCTGCTCGTGAACCCGAGGAAAAGAAGACTCGTGTGCAAGTCACTGTCGAATGGCCCAGCCGAACAAAAGTGAATACTCTTCATGAAGGATTAGAGTCACTCGGCAAGATGCTTTGTCACGCAACATACAAGCAAATTGCTGGAGCCGTATGGAAGAATCCAATTTTAAGGAAATATATGCAGCAGTTGTACCTGGAGGAGGTCGATCGTGAGTGTACTGCGATGTGTTCATTAAAGAATCCAAGCTGTCTGAGATCGCCCAGCAAGAAAGACCTCCAGCGCTTTTCGTTCAAGAAATTCAACAGCAAACTTGAATCGAAAGCACCATTGTTTAGTGCGGTACTGTGGACTGCAAGTGTGAGAAAAAGCAAAAGAGACGAATTCTGGCTGCCATCTGTGTGTATGTCCGCAGCTGTCTTGCTGAAGAACAGATCTCCGTGTATGAATGCAATGCAGCTGATAAACACGATCATTTTGTATCACTCGGGGATAACTGTGAGTAATTTTTTTAATCAGTTTCTATAAGATGTTTTCCCGGCATTCTATTTGTCCAAACCTATTATAACGTACTGATGACAACGATAATGCTTTTGGTAGTGCTAAGCTATGAAGAATTTGTTATGAGCTGATACCCAAACTGCGAAGCTCTCTTCCTAGTATTCAATTGAATATTTTTCACTTGATCATTAATGGATCAGATGGGGAAAGTCACTTAAATTCCCTACCTTCTGACGTCTGCATAATGTTAAATGTTGCATCCTTGGTCTTTGCACAGGCTATTTGTGCGTGTGTCATTAGCTCCAAAATTTATTGTAGAAATTATTATGCTGGATTTAAAACCAATTTAAGATAATTGTTAATTACTACTGTCTTTTGTTGATCTCACTCTCAGACTTCGTTACCTCTTATTTCTAGCAAAATTACAACTCTTTCGTTTAAGTTTGTAGGTACATCAATAACTTCGAATTTATGACTGTCAACTTCAAATGTGGTTGTTGCCTTTCAATAAATTAAAGAAAACATAATTTTATGAATTTTTATGAAAGTAAGGATTTTTATGAAAGTAAGTGTATTATGAATAAGATGTTCCGTGTGTAAATAATTTGTGAATATATGCCATTTTCCCTCAAAATATATACATGTACATCATAAGAATAAGATTTATCTGTTTTTTGACATGTCCTACCCTGTTGTACAGACAATTATAATTCCAAAGTTCATGAGAAAATGAAGGTAGCAAATGTTAATGCATTGAATAATAACATTACATCTGCCCTTTTATGGTAAAATGTCTTATATACTAATTATTTATTTCAGGCTTCTCTTTGCCAACTGGGTTCCCTCAGAGTAACCACTGGACACTCATATTATTACCAAAAGCTGGATGAATTTGGGAAAGAATATGCTGCATCTGTTGAGACGACGGTAAAAGATGAGACTGCACGACTTCAGAAACATCACCAAGCACTGACTGAGGCACCATCTGGTGCCAGTTCCCCTCCTCTAGTGACTGAAGGCCAGTCTCAACAGTCAACTGTAATTACTGCTGACAAAGGAAGAAAGTTGGACTTTGATAACTTCGACTTCAAGCAGCAAGTTCACAGTATGACTGAACAGCATCAAAATATAGATGTCCACTGGGTTACACACTTGTCAGTGGAAAATTGTGTCTCAGGAAACCACTTGTCAAGTGGGAAGCCTGATGCAGATGCTGTTATGCAGATGGAGAATGGTGTGTTTTTACCAACTCGCCATGAGCACCACCTGCAAAGGGAAAACTACATAACTCTCACTAAGAGAGCAATTGAGGAAATACCCTGTTTGGCATGTCTCAAGCCTGTGGTCTGTAAGCACATACCACACCAGTATAGCAAGGAAATGGCTGAGAAATCAGAAATGGTATTACATAGTACAATTTATTGAAAATGACTTACAGGCCTACTTTTGAACAAAAAAAATTAATTCAGGCCCATCAAAGACACAAAGTCAAAGAACAGTCAGAAAAAGGAGAGATGGGAAAAATGATTTTTGTTTCCTTGTTTTGAAGTCTTGTCGTTCTCATGTTCCAGTAACAGTAAAGGTTGGAGTTTGAAAATTTGCAGTAGTGGTATATTGTATAATTTGCCCCCCCCCCCCCAGTTTTTTTGCCTCCAACCCTTCCCTGCTACCACCAAAAACCACTTAACCCATTGAGAAAATAACCAGGATTATGTGTTTTCCCTTTGCAGTCTTTTCTTGGAATGTTGTATCACAACGAAATGACTCAGATGGTATTCAGCAAGTACTATGGTGATGGAGATGACAGAGTTTATTCCTCCCAAGGTTTAGTGGCTGATCAACTGTCAGTGGAGCGTGGAAATTGCTGTCTGGCATGCAGGAAATAAGGTTTTGAAGGTATGAAAATATTCTTTCTTTTCATTGAGTCATATACATTATATGTAGCTTTGCCAATGGGTTCATACTCATTAGAGTATATTCAGTGAACAACACCAAAGCAAGATAGCTTGTGAGATAAATATCAGGAAATTAGTTGCATAATTACACTCTAAAAGCGGTAAGGTCTGATTTCACACAGTTAAATGATAATTGTTTTATTTGAGATAAAAAAGGTCAGTCAATGAGGTATGACATCGCTCTCACTGTGAAAGGAAATGCATCAGTTGATGGGTGAAACTAAATATATTGTAAATACCTTTATTGAAACAATAAAACTAATGATAATAATAACAATGATATCAAATATATTGCACATTCATTCACTTGCATAAACAAGTAAATGTAATTCAAATGATGATGATGATGATGATGATAATAATGACACCAACAATAATAGTAATAATAATAATAATAATGATAATGATAATGATAATGGTGATGGTAATGGTAATGATGATAATGATAATGATGATAATGATAATGATAATAATAAATATAATGCACATTCATTCACTTGCATAGTCTTCTAATCATGTAAAAAAAATAGTTCAATGTTTGTATGTATCTGTTTTTAGGTTGCATTCCATAATTTCTACAACACGAAATCAGCAGGAGACAAATGCACTCTCTACAGCGACAGAAATTTAATAAACAGAGGGAATGTCAGCAGTGATGTTGTTGCGGCAGTTAACCCCTGTAGAAAATTTTTTGACCTTGAAGTTAAAGCAAGGCTTGTACCTGCTGTATTACATGAGCTTGGGATGAATAATATCTTGGATAGCCCTAAGGGTGAATTTTCCCAACCAAACCTTCCTGAAGCAAGTAACATGGAGAAAAAGGAATATGTGCGTAAAATTGCCACACACATTGTAGATGGCTATGTCATTCGAAGGGAAAATGTTGAAAACATTTTCAATAGGCTAGTAGCAGCAGAAACCACTGA